CCTCCAATATTAACAGTGAGTGAATAAAGAGATACATGTACAGTGAGTGGTAGGAAAGCGGTCTGAACAGAGAGCGAGGGGAAATACTGCTCAACAGAACAGCTCGGTGTCAGTGTGTGTGTCTGAACATGTCGTCACACTCTTCTTTATTTTCTCTCTGATTCTGTGCCTGTTGTGCTCACCAGCACCACATACTCTTGCTTCACACTGTAAACAGCCTGCGTGGCTGTGGCCTTAACCTTGAACCTTCACGTTGGAGAGGTTTGTGATCTTGTTACAATATTGATCAGCTGACTCTAGTAGGCTCACAGCTGCAGTCGTTCACACTGTGTGTTCCTCTCTGTCTGCTTCTCCCTGTGAGTTTCCCCTCTTTCCCTCCATAACCTTTGCTCTCTTTGTACATCCGGTATAGAAAAAACTTATAGTAGTAGTGGTGGTGGGCTAATGTTAAAAGTATGGATGCATGTGTCTCTCTCCTGTCTCTCAGTCAGATGAGATGTTCCAGTGTGTTCCGTGTTGGGTGCTGTTCTCATCCCGGGAAGAACTGATCCGACACCAGCAGAGTGACGGCTGCAGCCAGCACAGTGTGGGCTTGGACTGGACCAACTCAGCCCAGTCCGGCCCCACTCCGCACCCATCATCTTCAACTGCAAACCAGCAGAACAGCTCTACCCTGACCGAGCAGAACCACACAAAGTCACTGACTTCTGTTTTGAAACCACAAGCTCAGAACCAGAACAGGACTTTGCCGTCCGGCCCAGAGCAGCCTTTGCGAGCCAGAGCCTGACCGGCACGGGTTCTGGCAGCCAGATCCAGTTCCAGTGCGGAGACTGTGGCTGCCTGTTTGAGTCGCTGGCTCCGTGGCTCCAGCACCGGAAGCTGAAAGAATGTTGCAGGACCGGATCAGAACCAGGGAAAGACGGTGAGAAGGAGCACGAATCGGTGGAGGTGGACAAGGGCCCGGAGGATGGGCATGGTGTAGACGAGACAGGGACAGGTGACGTCCAATCCGCGTCTGAGAAAGAGCCGCCAGACTCCCAGGATATCCAGGAAGGTGCGGAGACACAAAACCCAAAGCCAAATAAGCTGGGAACCAAAAGAAAAAAGACTGCCGAGGCAGCTGCCAAAGCTCCGGTTGTGGCGTGCAGGAGTTTCCTGTGTGCCGACTGCGGGGCCGGGTTCAACTGGCAGACCGGCCCTCGTGGCACACCGCAGGACTCAGCACGGCCTGGAGGAGGCGCTGCACAACTGCCTGGAGTGCGGGGAAAGCTTCATGAACACCACCCTCTTCGTGCTTCACTGCAAGAAGCACCGAGAGAAGAGGGGCAGGATCCCGAGGGCAAAGAGGAGCGGCTTAGGACTGAGCTCACTGGAGAACAAGCAAGGAGGTAAGGGCTGGCAGGAGTGTGGGTATGTTAAGGGTTAACCTGGTAACGGGTATATTTTGTAGGGTGAAAATGTAAACTTTTGTGATTAAAAGTGGTTCAAAGACGAATAAAGAGTAATTTATGACTCACACCGGTCATTAGTTACTTCCGTTATTTTATCACTGATTCACCTTAGTCCAGTTCACACTAAATGTGAGATACTGCCCCAGGTGTTAAGCCAGACTGGTCTTGATTTGCACCAGGCTACACCCTGCAGTGATCTGGTGTTTGACGCCAGCTTGTCCCTGTGAAAGTTACAATCACGCATTCATTCACAGTACTTCCCCTTTATCTGCAGTCCATCTCTGTTCTGCTTTGCTCTGTTGTTATGAATCAGTGTAATTATGCACACATACTGGGCGTCTGCTGCTATTCATGGTACACCAATAGCTAGACTTAGTGAGCAAGCGTCCAGACTGAAAAGCTTGAGGCTATAATCAGGCTGATGTGTACAGTGTCCTCTTTTCTGCGCATTAAGATTATTCTACACATTTGTATGCCGGACAATACATATTTAATGCATTGTTGTATCAGCTTTGAACAGGATTTTCAGTCCTCTGCTTTGAATACATTCTTCAGGTTAACACTTTAGGTGAATCGATATGAATTCTCCTAAGCATATTTCAGAGCCCTGTCTGATAATCCCCCCTCTGAAATCCATTGCAATACATCATATATGTAATAATCATGTGTCTGGGCCAATTAAGAAATTAATTGAAAAGAGAGTGACAGCTGGACATACAGCCCTCGTCCGTTACCCTTCATGCATTAAATGTTCTACACAGCACATCTATTTTATTGCAGTTTGACCTTAACACACAGCCGGTGGTGTTTGCAACCTCAATACCCCTCTTCCCTGACAGTCTTTGAATATGGGTTAGTCAATGTGAGGAAGACTGTGAAGAAATGAGTTCTTATGTAGAGCCTGAGTTCTTATGTAAGCCTGGTCTGACACTCTTGCTCATTCAACTTGAATGGATGCATCTCTGTTCTTTTATGGATAAGAACATCTGCTAAGTGAATGTAATGTAATGTAATGTAGGTTTTAACACCATACAGTACATACCTATACTGCTCTGTGGATGAACCATGCAGAATAATTCTCAAAACGTCATGCACTTTATCAGTTCAGGGCTGTATCCCATAAATAATAATAATAGTCACATAAATAATTGCAGGGTTACTGCATTTTCATATGAAAAGCGGACATAGTTTGTCTCCAGCTGTCTCCTGCTTTCCGTGGATGAATCAGTCCAGCTTGTAATTTTCCCTTAGTTGAGAACGGAGGAGGGGAGAAGGAGATCATCAGAAGGAGGGCAACGAAGAGGAAGGTCAGGCTGAGGAAGCTGGCCTCCTCGTCCTACCTGGACCCCGCCGCTGAAGCGGTGGACGGCTTCCCCCCGGGCCGGAGGCCCCGGCGCAAACGGGGCGCCCCCCAGGAGTGCCCCCACTGCCGGCGCGCCTTCAGCAACCCCAGGTACCTGCGCGCCCATGTGCTCAGCCACTCGGGCCAGAAGCAGTTCCGCTGCGAGGTGTGCGGCAAGGCCTTCACCTACCAGAACAACCTGCGGCGCCACCTCATCCTGCACTCCGGCACCCGGCCCTACATGTGCGACCGCTGCGGCAAGACCTTCACCCAGTCCAGCCACCTGAAGGACCACCTGCGCAACCACGACCGCGTCTACGGCTGGTCCCGGCCACGCGACGCCGACGCCGGCGCGGGGAGTGGACAGAGGTGGGGCCCAAGCTGCCGCACCCCTGCCCCGACTGCCCCCGCAGCTTCATGACCCAGTCGCAGCTGCTGATGCACAGGTATCGCCCACCTGCGCGCCAAAACGACGCGCCCCGCTCTCACCTCCCGCAGAGATATAACATCTTTTTACATTTACGTTTACATTTACACATTTGGCAGATGCTTTTATCCAAAGCGACTTACAAATGAGGCAGAGTACAACACAAGCAATAAACCATAAGCAGTAAACAATATTAGAAGCACTGCATGACCAGGTTTCAGTGGTTGGCCAGACAAGGTACAAGCTAGCTGGCAGAGCTAGCGAGTGCGTTAAACTATTAGATTGCATTTTTTAATATATATATTTATACATCTTTTGATTCTCTGGGGGCTTATAGCCAATGTGTTTCCCATTTTGATAGAAAATGCAAAAAAGGCCACTTGATAAAGTGAGTGATAGCCGTATTACACCTGTCAGTGACAGCAAGCACTGTCTGTCCCCACACAGGGAAGCATCCATACATTCATATACCTTTGATTCCATATAACCATAGAACCCATTGCTGTGCAGACAAACGTGGGGATCCTGCAGACCTGTGACTTTACGCTGGTATTTTTCTGCAGCAAAGGATGAGAGAAAAGCATAACTGAATGTTTTTAATTCTACTTTTCCAGCTTTATTTACATGAAGGCATAAAGGAAATGCAATTCAGTTCTGTGAATCTTCTGTTCCATTGTATTATTTATGAATTATTTAGTATTTCACTTTCTATTTGTTATTACCAGATATTCAAAAAGAAAAAACACTTATGCGCTATTATGTAAATGATAGAATATTTCCATTACCGTGAAAGTATTGTACATAAATATAACTTACTCTTGCCTCAACTACTTCTGAAAACCAATTACTGTTCCCTTAACTCGAAAAACGAATGCTTGTATAATCAGATAAACAAAGGATAATATCAAACATCTTACAGAATGAGAACTTAATCACAAATGGATTATTTTTGTAAACATATATAAATATACACCATGATTAATAATTAATATGGTTGCCAGGAGATAGCTAAAATAACACAGTAAAAGAAGACTTGCTCGCTCTTCTGAAAGAGCTGTTCGTTGTTCTGTGGTGACAGTGATAGCCCCCATCTCCCACGCTCTCTTCTGACGTCACAAAGGTGCAGTGTCGCTAAATTCATTCTGCGTTGATAGTTATCTGTGCGCGGCTTCCGAAAGTGACAGTGACGAACGGCGGTTTCTGTCCCCGCGCAGAAAAATGTGCCCCATCTGTGAGCGGGCCTTCAAGTGGCGCGGCTCCCTGCCCGCCCACATCGTCCGGCACACGGACAACAAGCTGTTCTCCTGCGACGTCTGCGGCAAGACCTTCTCCTACCAGACCAACCTGGCCCGCCACCTCATCATCCACACCGGCACCCGGCCCTATGCCTGCAGCCACTGCGGCAAGACCTTCAACCAGTCCAGCAACCTGCGGCAGCACCTGCTGGTGCACGCCAAGGCCGGCGGCCGGCGTCAGCCCGTGGACCAGGGCGAGGGCGTCGGGGGGGACGAGGCTGTGTCCCAGCTCATCCACACCTGCCCCGATTGCACCTTAAGCTTCAAGACGCAAGCCCAACTGCAGAAGCACAGGTAATGTGCAGATGATGGCCAGTTCGTATCCAAGATCACATTACATTACATCACATTTTTGGCATTTTGCAGATGCTCGTATCCAGAGTGATTTACTTAGGTTATATTTTTACATGTTACCCATTTAAAGCTGGATATTTACTGAGGCAATTCTGGGTGAAGTACCTTGCCCAAAGGGTACAGCAGCAGTGCCCCAGCGGGGAATCGAACCGGCAACCTTTGGATTGCGAGTCCTGCATCCTACCACTATGCTACACTGCTGCTTGCAAAAATGAAACACTTCACAAATTTGCATTTCATACTAATCTTCTCTCTGTGACTACAATTTTAGTATATGTGTTGCCATAGCAAGCAATACTAGGAGGTATTCACTTGCAGAATGGATTAATGACATAATTATTTCTGTGTTGGTAATAGCATGGGGTGATACCCATGCCAAAAAAGATTAAATGTACATTTCACATGTGGAATTGTTGAATGTATAACTTGAATGATATTTATCAAATTATTTTATCAAATTTATCAAAAGTTTTGAATATGAATTTCTAACATGCAAATTTGAACATTTGTGTCACATATCACAATATTTTTATCTGTTTCACTATTTCAGTCACTGATGCATTGTCTAGTCTGTAATATGTCTGCACTTCTCTGTCTGCTCTTTATATCAGTTACAATTTGTGCCTTCTATTTTTTTTAAGCTGCTAATACCACTGTTTTCTCTAAAAATTAATTGCTGCTATTACTGCTGTCTTTCTGGCACTGATTTTATTTATTTGTTTTAATTAACTACATCGGGAAAAGCCAAAGCGAAATTTCATTGTACCTGAGTATAATGACAATAAAGATCATTCTGATTCTCATTCTTCCATTTTTTTTTCTTTAATCTAGGCTCAGTCACACTGGCCAGGACTCCATTTCCTGTTCTAACTGTGGTCTACCATCCTGTAAATGCCAAGAACAAGAAAATCTGCCCTCTGTCACAAACCAAGGTCTGAGTTCACTATGGGGTCAGCTCACAGTCGAGACTGATCATTGTCTCTGTCGTGGCGTCTGCCACTGTTTATGTGTGTGTGTGTGTGTGTGTGTGTGTGTGTGTGTGTGTGTGTGTGTGGTTACCTTGAGTTCGCCTGCCAGTCTGTTCACCCCTGTGCTTTTTATGCTGTCTGCACATTCAACATTCATGCTGTCCTCTCCTTGCCTTCTCAATGCATAATTACAAACACCCTCGTCAGTCTTAATTTTGTCTTTCAATTTTGTCCTGTCTCTCACGACAATGTGATGCAACATTTAGTACCTTTTGATCTGGACTAGTGGTCCAACAGTGTTCTTCTCTGGTTTAATATTGATTCTGTTGTTGCTGTCTGAGTGTGACTTTGTATATTACAGTGTTGCTGTGTACTATGTATTGTTCATTTCCGTTTTTAATTTTTGTGTTAACTGGAAAGCTGCTGTTTTGGCCAAGTCTCCTCGAGACTGTTTATTTCAAGGGACTTGCTTATTAAATAAATGTCAAATAAACAAAGAAATGAATTACGGTGACCGGACTGACAGATTATAAACGAATTGGTTGGAAACTGATTTTCATGGTCAAAGAGGAATGCCTTGTTAGATTAAACTGTAAGAACTTGAAGCACAAGGTGGACATGTGTGAACTGCTGATTCTTGAAAGATTAAAAACCATAAAATACCCCTAAATAGATAATCATACAACCATATGATATACACTAAATGCAAAGAAAGCAATTTCAATAAATTGAAATAAGTTAGAAACGGGCATGTTGCAACATAATCTATTCTATGTTGAGAGAGCATTGTTGCACTGTATAGCTGGATAGTTGTTTTGACAGTGTCTCTGTGCCTCCCTCTCTCTACCTCTCCCTCCTTCCCTGTCTCTCTCTTCCCCCGTCTCTCTCTCTCTCCCCCCCTCCCGTTCTCTCTCTCTCTCTCTCTCTTTCCCTCTCTCCCTCTCCCTCTCTGTCCTCTCTCTCCCTCTCCCTCTCTCAGACGGGGAGGTGAAGTCGTGCCCCCGTTGCTCCGCGCAGTTCGACAGCCAGCCAGTGCTGGACAGCCACGCGCAGAGCTGCCCGGCCGAGGGGGGGCGGGGCAGGGCCCATCGCCGGGGGCGACGGCGGAAGAGCGCCAGGCAGACGGAGTGCGACCTGTGCGGGCGCTGCTGCACCTCGCAGGAGGAGCTGGAGGCGCACCAGCTCTCCCACGTGGGCCAGAGCCAGCTGCAGTGCCCTCTGTCCCCCTGCCAGCGCCGCTTCACCTCCAGCTCCGCCCTGCAGAACCACCTCTTCTCCCACTTCCCTGGCCCCACCTGCCGCAACCTGAGGCCGGAGTGCCTCGTCCGCTCCAACGCCAGGGCCGCCGCCAGGACGGAGGCCCCCGCCCCGCCCCCGAGGAGGAGGAGGAGGTGGAGGGGGAGACCACGGTAGCAGGTACTGTGCTGCCACTCCCAGTGCTTGCTTTTGCTGTCCCGTTTTTGGGTTTGTGGCATCATCCATTACTGAGTAAATGTAGCTGCTGTGCCCTTCTGTGCATATTTAATGAAGCATAGTATACATTTTAGGACATCTATTTTCTATATATTCAGAAATGACAGGACCTGTAAATATTTAAATGAGAATATAACGACACTTCCTATACAAGTTCTGTATTTTACGGTATTTCCATAAAAAATTATTGCCATATGAAAATGAACACTACCCAGCACTACCCAAGAAGTAATTTATAGCACTCTTACTGGAATAAACAGACAACCAGCTAAACACTGCCAGTTTTTCAAAGGCCTGTCTCTAGGAAATGGTTCATGTCTTTTTAAATTTCACAAATGTGTCGTCTTCTGTTAGTCATAGTTCACGCTACATTATGAAATCCAAAGTTGAATATACTGTAAAATCCAGTCTGTGTTTAAATACCTTCTCTCTCCTCATCCTCTTTTCTTCCCCTCCTTCCCTTTTTTTTACCTCTATTCTGTCCTTCTTTATCCTCTTTCTGTCCTTCCACTTGTGGCACACCCTTCCTCCACTCCAACCCCATCACTTCATCTATCCCTCTTTTTCCATCCTTTGTCTTGCCTGCCATTTTGTGCCCTCCTTGCTTCCCTGCTCTGTGTCCAGTGATTCCGCTGTGGGAGGTGTACGCGTCAGACCCCCCGCCCGCGGGACCGTGAGGGGATCCACAGCTGTTCTGCCGCTGGCTGTAGGGGAGGAGCCTCACGGTTTGGAAGAACCCCTCTCCGAACCACCGACTGGGACTCAGCCAGAGAGCTCTCTCAACAAGCAGGGTGCCCAGCCCAGCAGTGAGAGGGGAAAATGTGAGAACAGAACATTGCAGGGGAGATGGGTGAGGGAGCAGGGAATAAGCCAGAGTAGGTGGAGAGGCAAAAACGGTTGAAGCACCACCTGCATTAAGGAGAGGGGGAGACTGAGAAATGAGAAATTAAGAGAAAAATAATTTATAATTTAATAGTATGAAGTGTGACTTTATGTACATACTGTACAGTTTTTTTTCCGTTTTGAACTTGAGTTGACTGTAAAATAGGTTAAATTCCGTTTAATAAAATAGTGTTGACTTTACCAGTCTCGTTTTACAGGGCATGCGACAATGTAGGTGTCTTTTTTGCTTGACAATACACTGCCAAAGCCCATGCGTGATACAAATGATGTTCATTTTAAATAGAGGAACATCCTGTATGATTGCAGTAAACGCTAAAGAACTTGTTTTATTCACATGCCTAGCGTTATGAATAATTTTGATCATTGTGGATTTTTTTGGACACACCATTCTTTGGAAAATATGAATCTGCTCTTTTCAATGCTATAAGTGTAAAAATAAGACTATTTAAAATTTATCTATGCAAATAATAAATACTAGTATTTTTTTCTGTTAATATTTTTGTTCAGATTAAAAAGGTGTATGAAAAACAGTGGAAGACAACATGTTTATGACTCACTGAATCACAAAAGGTTTCTAACAATGCCCGTGTTCTTTCTGATTTATTGTGAAACAATCAAATGGCAAATGCTCTTCCACTTTTTGCCAGGTGTAGAGTAGAATGAGTTCTCACAAAGAAATGTCCTCCCACGGAGGATTATTGCATCTCAAGCATTTTGATATGGATTCTCATCTTTATCAAGACCAGATTTGGACTGAAACATTGTCCTCCACTTCCCTGGGAGCCAGTAAAATGCAGATTTTTAGAGCACTTTTTTCTAATTTTAAATGTAAAACTATATGGAATATTATTCCTTTTAATACTTCCATATTCAACACAGAGATCTAACATTCCCTTTTTGGTGTCAGGACAAAGAAGAAAAAAATTGTTTTTCTTTTAAAAGTGTTTCATTATTTTGACCCTTTTATACCAAATCACCATAAAAGTGTTTCATGTAATAATGAAGATTTCTTAAATCATACTAATTTCTGTAGAAATAATCATCATCATCATCACAAATATAAACTAGCTAGCTAGTTACCTAACTAGAATATATTCACTACTCGTCCACAGTCATCAGATCAGAGTTCAGCAGAGGCTTCGCAGATGCACTGATCTCGCCCTCATTAGAGATGCATGGATGCCCTGAAGGTGGCCGACCGTTAGATATATCCGAACAGATTAAAGATAAATGAAACTATACAGTACCGGCTCAAAGGGAGTTTTCTTTCATTTCAGGTTGGTGTAACCATCAAATAAGACTATTACTTAATTAATTAACCGATCTGTAATTAATCGACTGATCACAGAAATACTAAATAATTATTCTGGAAAAAGACACCGTCCGCTGTTCTGAGGCGGCAGTGGGTCACGCTGTTTGTATATCTTCACTGTCCAAATTAGTTCATCAATGCCATTGGTGTTTTTGAAACTGTAAACCGACCAATCCGCTGCAGCGTTACTGCGACGCCGGGGAGTTTTCGCCAGTTTTTAATGCAGAATGCAAACTGTGCTATACACGGAGTCGGTGAGTTATTTTTTTCGCCCCATTACATAGAAATGTGATTTTATACGTTATATATATGTGACTTTTACTTCCTACGTTACAAATTTCCGGAAGCGTATGCCTTGAGTCTCGGTGGACCAGAGACAATACTCCGCCGAGAGAGGGGAGGCACTCGTTGCCTTATGTCACAGTCCGCCATAACACCACAGAAGAAGAGAGAAAAGGCACCGCCGTATCAACGCTAGCTAGCTAAATAACCTGGAGGAGACGCACCAGTATGTGCAGGTTACACAGATCGGATCGCTGTGGCTG